AATTTATCTTTTGAACCTATATCTAAACCCACTTGAGGAACATAAGCACTTATAATATTAAAATCATAGGATCAACAATAATCTTAAGGGCTATAATTGTATCTCTAACTCTATTAGTTTTTACAACATTATTTTTCAAACTCCTATCTATAATTACACATACACCATTTATAGTGCGATTTTTACCTGCCTACAAAAGTTTAAAACCGAAGTTATCGATCTCCTTGGCCTTTTCTCCAATCCATTTAGTTTCTTGAACACATAAGATATTTATTTTTCTATGAATCATAATATCCACTAACTCTATTAATTTACCAATGAGAGTACTTATATTCCAAGATCCTATCATAGTATTAGTTTCATGGACTAATTTCTTTATCCTCATCCGCGTAATGTGGAATCCTTATTTAATTGACACTAAACTTATGCGCCGGTATAACGACATTTGCACACTTTTCATTGTATTCAAACCATACATCGCGTTGGTTCCAGAGGATGCCCTAACACTTACACAATGATAAAAAAAGATTTATGTCATGATTTTTTCGACAAGTTTACGCTGGCTGTCAACTACCTAACGCAACCCTCCACTTTTCACATTTATTTTTGCTAATATATAATAAATTTTTTTATTGCGTTAAATTTTGTTGTTCCTTGGCTCTTTCATTATTTTTGGATTTGGATAAACTTTTAGAGAACATATAAATTTTAAATCATTACAAAACCAACGATAGAAATTTAAATTTGTATTTATCGAACCGTCTCTTCGTACATTGGTCAAGCTCCTTGGCCAAGTTATGACGTGCACCTTATCATGTGTTTATGTTGATGGTTCCTTTGGTTTGTGAGTTCTACATGAGTAACATTCAGGTTCTTTCCTGACATAAATACTAAGAAAAATATTGTTCTTTAAATTTTTGAACCAGCCTTTATGTGTACACTTCCTTGAAACAGAAAAAAATGATCCACTAACAGATGTATGTTTCTTCATTGGCTATTTTCCTACGCAAACATAGTATAAATGCTAACTTTCCACCAAGAGAAAGGTGCATATCTCCATTGATGTCAGTTTTGATGAAGATGATTACTATTTACCACCATTTATTCAAGTAAGAATTATCATTCACAAATTATTTTTTTCTCTTAGGTTGCACTTACCATTAATCGTATTAATTTTGTTCAAGAACCAATTGTTACCCACCAGCTACTCCTATTCCAAATAAACCTATATTTGAATCGCTTCCTCTACTTGGGCTCTACATGCTTAATCAAGAAGAGGACATTTCAATCTGCCAAGTCCTGCTAGTGCAATTAATCCTTATTATTAAATTCATTAAGTTAATCAATCAATTTGTGATTGAAAGGAATCTTAGTATAAAATTTTTAAAACTTCGATTGAATCCCCTTCATATTTTTCATATTTTATTAAAGTAAGGTCTCTTCTAATTAACAAAGCTTCTTTACGAGCTTACTTACCACCTCTATTCCTAAAATAGTCCATATCCATATTACTAACTTTCATTTTAATAATGAGAAATGGAGTATTGTAATGATGGAAGAGATGTCTTCACTTAAAATCAGTAAAATATGGGAATTGTTAAAATTACGAAAAGGAAAGAAATTAGCAAAAAGTAGACGAGTCTTTATCGTAAAATAAATTCAATGATGTATTAGAAATGCATAAATCAAGATTGGCGGCCGTGATTGATTACCTTAAGACCTTTGCTTCAAGAATTTGAATTTAAATAATTAGAAAAGCTAAAATATTTCTTTTTTTTGATGATGCACAATCTCAACATGAAATCTTGACAACAAATGTAACATACCTATTAAAAGGCATGGGTAAGTTGGGATGCGTGTGTGTCCACTACCTCCCGGAATTCAATCATAAACTTGGAGATGTTTAGAAGACATAACAATAGAAAAATATTCTTTCAAAGATTTGTCCGGGAACATTTATCCATTTCTCACATATTATACTCTATATTCTCCATGTTGTTAGTGTGGCGAGCTCATTCATGTACAATCCATGAGAATTTAATCTTAGGGTTATATATAGAATTCTATTGTATTTAAAGAGAATCTTAAGTAAAGAAATTCTATCCAAACAAGGGAACGATTTTACTCTTAAAATTTATACACGTACAAATTATGCATGTTTTATGGTTGATAAGAGGTCAACTTCAGGATATTGCCCACACTTAAAAGGCAACAATTTGGAGGAAAAAAAAAATGATTTGCTAGCTAGATCTAGTGTACAAGCTGAATTTAAATCTTTGACATTAAAATTTAATGAATTAATATGGCTAAAACCCATCTTTGAAGAGTTAAAGGTTGATGGAAAAGCTTTTATGAGGGTTTATTATTATGCTGAATCAATCATTAATACTAATTATATTAAAGTTGATAGATATTTTTTTGAAGAAGATGAATGATTTGCAAATATTCTTACCAAAGAATTATTAGGTACAAATTTTCTAAAATTTAAGAAAATCTTGAAAAGAGTAACATTCATTCATTTGCTTGAGTTAGGAGTGTAGAACCAACCTTGAAATCATCCTTGTATTGGGGAATAGATATATGGAAACTGATTCGAGATTTCTGATGCAAAACTTTAACAAAAGTTTATAAAATAAGATATCACAAAAAATGCAAAGAATACCAAGATTTATTATGAAAAAACCCGAGAACGGGAAAAAATCATGGAGCCACACTAAAATAAGAAATTCACTGTGAAAAGTAAGGAGATGGTACAAATTATACTTCACTCAAGCCTCTCTGCACTTTCAAACTCAAGAACACTCATTTTCTTCTTCACCACACAGAAGAACTTTGAAATCCAACACCTCTTTGAACCTTAATCCCACATCGAAGATGTAATTTTAAGCCTCGAAATGCCTGAATGTGGTTATTGGTGCCAGGGTGTCGGAATTCGGCACTGCGGAGCGCCATTGTAGTGCTGGGACGCTGACCTCAGGGCATTGGGGTGTCGATCACTCTGTTTATGGGCCTGGGTTGGGCGCTGCGGCACCCCCTCCTGGCGTTAGAGTGTCGAAAGCTAGGGTTCCAAGCACTGGGGCACTGCATCCGGGCATTGCGGCGCCCAATGCAGAAAATTTTTCAGGACAAAACACTATCACAAATAATCATTACAAATCTCTTAATCAGTGCAAAGAGAAAATAACTAATATATAGGCCCGAGGCTGCTTCAGCGAGGCATAACCTAGCCAAACCAACGTCCAAAACATAACTCGCTGTCATACTTAAATTGGTCCAACGTATTGGACTCCATCTGAGCCTAGAGAGACTGGGACAGCTCTCGCAAACTCATAAGATCCTGCTGCAGCATAGACACAAATTGCTTCACCATAGACAACTCTTCCTGTAGTTGAGCCATGTGAGCCAATAGAGTGCATGCCTCTGAGTTTTGCTAGACACCATCATCACAAGCGAGAGGGCTCTCAATTTCTAATAAATAATGGCCAGCTTCTCTTAGTTTGTATGGGGCGAATGGGCCCCCTCTATTTGCACCACTGTCAAAAATGAGTGGCCTGTGAGGTGGTCGGTTTGGTCTCCCCCTTAAACAGGTTCTAGAGATTCTACCCTCATTTATCCAGTAGAGGCTGAATCTGGCGAAACGAGCTCAATTTCTAGGAGTTTGGAATGCTCACGGCGAAGTGTTCGGACGAGGGCAGTGAGAAAAATGGCAGAGAAAAGGCGCTTTGGCTAAAAACCATCTCTGATAGATACTTTTCTATTGTTGCCAACGTCTGGATGAGTGAAACATATTGTTGCAATTTTTGTAGTTATTATAATAATGTATTGGATATTAATTCAGATATTTTTATCATCCTTTTTGTCTTGTGGAGTGCTTGGTCACACCTTAATTTTAAGTTGATATTTTGATTAGTATGTTCTCATTTGGTTATCTTTAACTTATATTGATTTATATTAGTATAGGTATTGGACGTCTTAATATGATATCTGCATCATTGTTGGATTTGATATTCATGCCATTACCAACCACGTGCTTTGATGATAAATGTAAAGTTTGATGTTATGTAATGAGATGATCAAATTTGATTGCACTGACTTAAATCAAATCAAGAATGTAAATTCATTAAGCCAAAAGTTAATTGATGATGATGCTGAATGTGGTTCATAAAGCAAGCCCTACATAATCTGCATGTTTTATTTTATTACGACTTATGCCTTGGCAAGCATGTCTCACTTATTGAGTTTGTTCTTGTAAATTCATCCTATTTTATATTGTGATTTTTCAGAACGGTAGTTGCGTTCTCAAGGGACAATAAACTAGTGGTTTTCTTTCCTTTTTTGGGATTGCACAAAGTGTTAATTTTTTTATTTATGTGAATTTTCTGTTATTGCACTGAAGTTAGTTATAATCTATAAGGATGGAAAACCAAACTTTGATTTACACAACTTACAATAGTTGTATAGTATGTGCTTGTTATATTATTCTTCCTTCGTACTCACCGCTAGCGGAGTAGGGCTTGGGCATTGCATTGCTTACAACCATATGTATCAATTTTAGATATTGCATGGAGGAAACTTTTGTAATCTTTTTTGCAGATTATTTCAGTGTTTTTGGGTTCAGGCATCTGTTTCGGAATATCATATGATTAAGCTAACACTTGAACTCTGCCTCTTGTTTTATTTTACTGTTAGCTGTTATTTGTCATCTTGGGATGGGGATGACCTACTCCAGGATGATTACTCATTTTTATCCCTTTTGTAAAAATGCCATATACTCATATATACAGAATTAATTTTTGAATGGGCACAATGTGTAAAACTTAGTTGCCTTGCCTAGATGATGAACTCATAGCCATGGATACCTTGCAAGAATGAGATTAATATTATTATTTTGGTTAGCCAATGGCGTACGCCTTTTTTTAGATTGTATATTTTCTAGTATATTTCTTCTTGTTTTAAAGTTCTTTTATGATGATACTTGACAATTTTTTTTATCTTGATAGGATCGTAGAAAATTTGGAGACTCAGATTGATACTTATCAGACGAACAGATGTAAGAAGTGTAATATCTCTCATTTTCTATGTTACTGGAAGCCACACATATTCCTATCTCATACTTTGGGGTCACCAAAAATCATAGATATTGTTCACTTCTTGCTTAATTCATGAAAGTTGGCTTAAATGGGTGCTAAAAACACTTGCAAACTCCTTTTCACTGTGAACTAAGTATTAATGACATGATTGATTTTTCAGGGATGACATGGGCAATACTCTACGGTTTCTCATTGCAACTGACTGTCACCTTGGTTATATGGAGAAAGATGAAATACGAAGGTTTGATTCATTTCAGGCTTTTGAGGAGATCTGCTCAATAGCTGAACAAAAACAGGTAATGTATCAGCAGAAGGCTAATATTAATCCGTTTCAAGGCTTAGACAACATCGGACATGAGATAGCTTAAAGGAAAATTTACATACATACCACACAATTCTTATATAGTTACATATCTAACGTCTAAATTTTAATGTTTACATTTATAACACTTTTGTGCATAAGCCTATGCATGAGAAGGTGCATTTCACTTATAAAAAGTTGAGTAGAAGTGATATTTTTGATGTGATATTAAAGATTTGAGTATTATGCATGTGAATGTGAAAGTTTAGGTGTTAGATATGTAAATACATGAAGAATCATGTGGTATATATGTAAATGCCCCTATCTTTAATCAATTAATGGCATACACAATATCTGAGATGAGATATTCTTATTTATCATTAACATGTACTGTTTTCTCTTACAGTTTTTCTCTGTTGTCAGATGTTTGAAACAGGAAAGGTGCGCTATCAACTATTTCAGATGTTCATTCTTTAATTTAGGGCCGTTCTTGTCTTACAAGAAGCCTTTTAATGGAAAAGGCTTTGATTTATTGAAATTTCTATTGGTTGCATTATGCCAAAAAGAGATTATTTCTATTAGTAGAAGAGAATCTTGATCTCCTAGCAAAGACCACCCCAAACTTTGAAGCATATAATATTAGTTGAAGAGAATCTTGATCAACAAGCATAGGAACTAGGGATTAATCTTTTGTTAAAATAATTTTGTTTGTTTAACTAGATTTTTGCTTATTTATTAAATAAGATTATATGAGTTCTAGACTTCTTATGGGCATATAAGCACCTATTGTTAATTAACCATTTTGCTGAATGGGAAATCACTTTCTATTAAGAGATTATCTTGATTTGTATTTTAAGCTTAGATTTTATTATTAGATGTGGATTTAATTGAGTAGGGAATGGTTGGTGGATGAGGTTGATTCGATTAAAATCATATGATTCAGTTCTCCTATGTACACCGATTGATCGAGTCCATTAATATTACAGGGCTTTAAGTGGTAACTTCTAGTGAGCTCGCCTACAAACTAAGGGCTACCTTATCTGACTTGTGAAGACAGGTGGGTTTATGTTGAAAATAAGTTATTGAGATTAGTTTGACTCTTTTATTGGCAGAGTCCTTGTTATAGGGCCCGTTTGGGGTAGCTTATTTAGGTGCGGCGGCGTTTTGAAAACGCCGCCGCTGTGTTTGGATCGGCGTTCGGGCGGCTTAACTATACCGCACTGCATCCCGCTTCGAGTAATTCCTTAAGGTCTTCGACACGGCTCTCGACCTGCGTCCCAGCTTTCGGCCGCAAGATTTGCCCTAGATGCTCCTGAGCTCCCTCGCGCTCTCCCTCCCTGGTCGGTGCCTGCGATCGAATTTCTTCTTACCTTAGAGGAGATTGGCCCGGATTCCTTTCGATTTTTCTGTCTGATCGTAAGGTATGCTTTATCTCACTGTCATTCATAAAGGGATCGATAGTCGCTGGTCGTGAACGGTCGAACATCGCTGTGGTTTATTTATTTTTTCTTCCTTCACGGAAGAGCAAGTGATTCGTTACAGAAATTTTGTTTCAATTTTTTCTATTTCCTTAAGTTAACTCCCGAATATTGGTTTCGATTTCTTCGTTCCAGAAATTTTGGTTTCGATTTTTTCTGGGCTTTAGAACTTTCTATGAGAGGAATCCATGCTAGCTAAGCGTGAAGAAAAGCGTGGAGAATGCAAATACGAATTTTAGTTTTCATTTCTTCGTTCCAGAAGGGCTTCAGTTTCTCTGTTTCAATTTTAGGCTCTAGATCTTTTCTATGAGTGAATCCATGCTCTTATCTATAGTTTTATGTTAAGAATGACAATGGTTATAGCATTGGGCAATGTTATAACATTAGAGCAACGTTAAGAATGACAATGTTTATGGCCTGCGGTTATTTTCTTTTTATAGGAAACATAGGTATGAGATTGATTCATTAGAAATTCAGGAGTTAAGTACATACAATTTGACATTATTTATGTATCTAGGTAATAAATATTGCTCTTGATTGAAATGAAACATTACAGCATGTTCCATTCATCTTTACTCAAAATATTGTTTTCTGTCAGTGGAGTTTCAGTATCATTTATAGCTTTGATGGCTGTATCTAGAGATATAAAATTTATTTTGGTGCTGAAGGCTTTCACCAATGGTTGGGAGCTGAATGTTACTGGTGTTAAGCAGAGCTGCGAACTGTTGTTGGGTTTTTCGGTTTTTCTGTGATCCATTCACCATTCGGTTTTTTGCAAATATGGTATGATCCATTCACATTTCGAAATTTGGTATGTTCCATTCGGTTTTTAGCAAATATCAAAATGGAGGAAGAATGAAAACATGTTCTATTTTTTTATTTTTTTTCTAGAAACTTCTATTATCACAAAATGGAGAAAGTGAATTGCAAGTTGTATTGTTCCCCCTTAAGATGGTTTTATGTAACATGATATAATTGCATAATAAAGACTTTTCGATGTATTACTGTGGAAGTATTTTTTTTAATTCTCTTGGTACTCATGAGGATGTGAGAACTGTATGTCATCTTTTATAACTGATCTGTAATGATCGTATGCTTCTGCACTATATGCTTCTGTTCTGCCAATAAGCTATTCTGAATAAGCTGCTCCAAACAATTTTATCAGACAGGGGCAGGAATGTCATTTAACCATCAATAAACTATTTTGAATAAGCTGCTCGAACAGTAAGATTATCAGATTATCAGAATAATCTACTTATCAGTAGATTATAAATAATCAACAGCTGCGCCAAACAGACCTATAATTTTATTGAAATTTTAGAGGGCGCACAACAATACTTCTTGCAGTTCAGAGTTGATGGGCATGATTGACAAGAGCTTATAGCATAATTATTTGTTGCAATGAGTTTTACTTTGATTGAAAGAAGCGTGCCGAAGGGCACATGAGTTTTAGTTGTTTTATTTTCATTTGTTTAATGGGCTTATTAGCATGGAAGTTGGTCTGATTTTATTTTTAAGTTGAGGCTTGTATTTTAAAAGGCTATGATTTTGATTTAATATGCTTGTTGATCTTGTACTAGCTCAAGTTAATTGGTACGAGGCTTATGTCCATTGGAAAACTTATAAGCGGGCCTTTGAACCTCAAGGACTAGGAAAGCATTGCAACGGATCTTACAATTTTATAGATAAGATGGCTCAATTTTTTAAGTTGAGTTGAGGGGCTTTGTTGATTATCTGTCTAACGTATTAATTGGGTTGTGTCGGACTTACATCCGTTGCATGACCTAGATAAATTAAACATGATATTCTGAGCTCGTTTGCTTATGCCGGGCCAAATGATTTGATTGGTTTGGTAGGCTTTTTGTGTTTGTATCCACTTAATTAATTTGGTTGCCTTGATTAGCTTATTGGCTTTGGGCTAGTATAGTTAATTATGGTGAAACTTACATCTTTTAGAAGGCTCAAAAAATTCAACCTTGAGAGCGAGAAAAGCTGAAGAAATTCACAAATTGGTCTTAAAAACTTGCCCTACAGGGACAAGATGATTGGTAAAGCTGCTTTAATTTTTGTTTTTGTTAACATATGATTTAATGTGCATATTGGGAAGATGGCTTACTGCACAAGTGAACTAAGATTTTGGTTGAATGGTAAGTCGTATGCCTGGTAAGCAATTATAAATAATTAACTCAACTCTCAAGAAATTATGTCTAAGCTAACAAGATATATAATATTTTCTTATGTTGTTTGATGGCCAAACACCAACATGGATGCTTGATCCCCATTCAAATTAGTATCTTACTACCAAACATTTCAATTATAAACTCAACTCCTTCACTTTATGAGTAGATGGAGAAACTTTTGTGCTACCTTGCTTAAAGGGTAAGAGCTCCATTAGATCCACGACTAATGCAACTCACACACAAAGCTTCCCAAGGCTCCACTTGACTTGACACAAAATTACTAATAAAATTACCAAGTCAAGCTGTTTTGAACATTTTTAAGGTGACTTAATAATAGCTTGTCACTAGGGTTGTCAGTCTTGAAACTTGCAGGAAAATTTTGATACATAAAATTTGGGTTTGAGTTGACTCATGTAATTATCACGCTTGGTTTGAGTTATTTTTAGACGACTCAAAAAAGGGTTGAATTTTGATTACTCTAAAAAATAATAACTTATTCATTTTTTCTTTCTTAATGAAAACTCATAGTAAATTATGTACTTTTAATAATGTTATTTAAGTTTTTGCATGCATATCAGGTATTCATGTCTTTTTTTGGTTGGCTCATAATCACCTATCAAGATTTGAATAAATTTTATGCTATGTTGGGTTGGTTCAGGGCTTGGTTGTGTTGTGTTTGAATTAAGATTTTGACGCATATATTACATTGTTCATATTTTGATTGACTATATTGTGTCAAGTTATTCTTTGCATCAAATCTAAACTCAACTTGAGAAATCGAGTTGATAACTCTATCTATTGCCATAAAAATATTAAATTTTAATTTTAATGCACAAGCTTGATTTATGTGATATAAAATGCTTTAAAATATAGATAAGATTTTATAAATATGATTTGGCTCAGGGAGGCTTTGTTGAATGAGCACTTTAATTTCTTATCTTTTTTTCTAAATGATACAATATTTTCTTTAAATGGCTTTCATTAGCCAAAAAAAAAGAGAGAAATCTTATATGTATTGCTAAAAAGCATTCAAAATACTTCTCAGAAATCACCCTTAATTATTCCCAACATTTAGCTAGCAGATGGCAATGATTTTTTTGATTGGTTGTTGGCGACTCTTCTTGTTACTAGGTAACTCGCAACGCATCAGAATCTCCATATATACAAAATAAAGTGGCCCTGACATCCATTATTTTGTACAGGAAAGGATGAGTGAACAATGTTTAAAAAAAAAAAATTAATTGAAATTAAGTCTTCTAATATTTGAAATCTTATGCAGGCAAATTAATTAATCCAAAGAAGTAAAAACTTAGCGCAATTTTATTAACTACGACATAGTTCTTCATTAATCCTAGATATTACATAATTATCATGTATTGCTAAATATATCAAATGAGTTATAACAAAATTGAAATTTTTGTTGTAGAAACACAGATGATCTAGTAAGCTACCTTAAACTTTTCATGCATTGAATAAAATTTTTAACTTATTGAAAAATAATATAATATAAGCTAATTATCTTTATTTAACATCATTAAGGTTCGTTGAAATCAAATGAAAAAAATGTTGATATAATTATGAGACATTAGTTCAGATAAACTTTCTAACTACATTAGTCATCAATTCAAACATAAATTAATTTTTTAGCACATACCTGCTATTTATTATATTTTATACAACAACAACAACAACAAGCCTTTATCCCACTAAGTGGTTACATGAATCATTTTTCTTCATTGCGTCCTATTGAGTGTCATTTTTTTTATTTATTTCTTATATTTTATGGAAATAATCTAATTTAGATAAAATAAAAAATGTATCAAAATAAAAATTTTAGTTAATTGAAAAATCTATAATAATTTAGAAATATAATTTTAAATTGATTTAATTGTGTTCATCATTCTTATGCTACTGACAACACTTAATTTACATTGAATTTTATTAAACTCGCACTAAGCTAAACTATGATCCTTGGATTCTTGAGTATTCAGTTTAGTTGTCATGGAATAAACCTTTTCTTCACTTGAGTTTTTGTGAAATGAATCCTTGAGCTATCCTTTTAAGTGACAAATCATCTAAGCATGATGAAAAATAAAAGGTTTTTGATTGCTATCAGAAGGTTTGTTATTATCATATGAATAGTGAGCCAGACATGAGTGATGGGTCACACGAGCTTTAGGCAAGTGTGCAGTTGAGAGCTCACTTTGAGGTAATATTATAGTGAGGAAACCAATTGTACTTTATTGAAAACTTGGAAGTGGAGCATTGCCCGAGCTTATTTGCATATTATATATATACATATATATATATATTAATGTATTTGAAGCAACCGTATTGTTTTTATGGAAAACAAATCTGAAAATTAATCTTGAATTGTAGGTGGATTTCTTACTTCTTGGCGGTGATCTGTTTCATGAAAATAAGCCTTCAAGGTCAACAATGGTGAAAGCCATAGAGATACTTAGACGATATTGCCTAAATGATCGACCCGTGCAATTTCAAGTTGTCAGTGATCAAACTGTTAATTTCCAAAACATGTAAGATCTTTCTGCCTTTGCATGATAAATGGGTGTTCGATCTCTATAAAATTTGTATAATTTGATTAATTGAACTTATAACTCTACAAGCGATGAGCGCTATCAAATTTAAATATCTTTTTTAGTTTTTAAGTAATCGCTAAAGCTTAGTTTTTTATATGATGACAGCTGCTTGATCAAGGCATTCTTTCTCTGTATATGATGCGATTCTTTAATTTTTTTTTATTAGTGAATTATATTTAGGAAATATCTGATTTTTTTTTTTTAATGTGTTTGGACTTTCTATGTGGAGATAAGAGCTAGTTTTGTTTTAATTATTTTTTTTCTTGCAAGTGTACTTGGGATCGTTCTCTTCTGTATTATGATCTTAGGATTTTGACGGAACAGGCATGAAGTATTAATGAATTATTCGACTTATGGCTCATAGAACCTTTTCTCTTCATTGCGTTTCTCTATCCCAGAGTAACTTCCTTTCTCGTCCATCCCCCTATCTACCTCTTGTTTCTCCCCTTCGTCTTCTTTGCCTTTCTCATCTCTCTGTTTGTTGCTAATTTTTTCCTTCCTACGACTCTTCTCTTAGGCATATAGGTGCAATCCTCCATTGGCCGGTCTCCCATGACACTTTCTTTCTCATTTCTTCGTTACACAACAATTTTTTTATTCTTATAGAGACCTCCCCATTTCAAAATTGCTTCCCAAACAATCCAATCCATGTTTATACCGTTCCACTTGTTATTTTTCATTCAAATTGCCTACATATCTCGGGAGCAGGAAATTGCTTACTGGAAGTCTATATCCGCAGCCTTGCTGCCTCAATTTTGGTGTCAAAGAGCAGGATCTACCTTCTAGTACTAATTTTCAATTCCACACCATTGTTTTTACAAAATTCTGATATGCTCATTTAAATCATTCAGAGTTCATGTTATTATGTTTTTTGGGCAACATCAGCCACCTATCTTTGGGTGGAAACAGAAACTGCGCAACAACTTTTTGTTCTTCACAATCGAATAGAAATGACACTAATGACATTTGAAATTTAAAATTTGCACATGTTACTATTTTGATGATCAACAAATTTATTTGTAGATAATTTGTGCAAACAAAGCTTGATTGGCCATCTTTATACGTATAAATGTTTGACTTAAGTTTCATGTTTGCTTGCATTCCTATTAAACCATGCATGGTCCTTGCCTAAGAATGTCCCATTAACAATCAGACTATGATGGAGTCCCTGCATCCCTGCTTGCACAAATGAGAGTTCTAATAAATTTTAAGAATTTTGACTTCATTAAATTAGGCCATTTTACTGTCGAACTCAACATACCTTGAAGGTAATAAATTAGGTTATCATTTACATATCTAATATTTGCTTACAGCTTTACTCCACCAAAATTCCCTTCTACATATCCTAAAGGATTTTATTAACTAAGCAAAGGTTTTATCATTAATTTTTGCTTCAATTATCTTCTGATATAGGGAAGTGATTGCATGTGCGGTTGTATGTATTTATGCTTGAATGTTCTTTTATTTATAGATCAATATATGGTTGCTGGCTTGCTGCAAGAAATTTATGATTGCAAAAATAATGTTAAGGGGATAATAGCGTAAATAAAAGAACATTCAAGCATAAATACCATATGGTTTATATTACAAAAAAAAATTAAAGCTTTGCGATTTGATGCCAACATGCATGCTGGTTAAGGTTCCCGTTCTAAAAACATAGCCTTCAGTTTTCTTCCTGTCAGTCATGCTACAGAAGTTTAAGCCATTCCGGGCATGCATGCTCATAATGCAAATTTGTTTTTCAACACTAGAAGATACAAATGGAATGCTCCAAACCATTGAAGTTTAATATGTGTCCTTTAAGTCATACACCATCTGCAATATCAAAAAATTTCTTAATCACTTCGAAGGCTGCATCGAGCCATTAGAGATATGCATAAAAGCTATTTGAAGGGCTCTTACCTTTAAAAAATCATTATATTTGTGACATAGTTAATCAGGACATGAAAAGCGATCTGACAGTTATTAAGAACCTTTAATTGCCCATCAACAAAGGTAACATGAAAGAATCAAAACAAAAGTAAAATATTAAGAATCATTAAATGACCATCAACGAAGGTGACATGATACACGCCTACAAAATGACATTAAATCAGAAATGCAAAGGCTAGATAGAAAGAAAAAAATAATACAAGCTGAAAAATAGGCTATCAAAGTTTAATGATATAATCAAATAAAAGCTCAGGGCCCATCAAACCATAAATTGAAACTCCATCCAAAGACATTAAAGCATCAGAAGAATTTCCCAGAATCAAGTTGCAACATTTTGGTTTCTAAGAAATAAGCATGGTCAACCGGATTATAAGCACAAAACATCAAGATTAAATCTGGTCGTTCGTAAATCTCAATTATCTCAGTAGAAAGTAGAAACCAATGCTAGCAAAGACAACCCAAAAGACCATAGGGCAAAGAGCATATGTTTTTCATCCAACTATCCATGTATTTGTACTTATCCAACAACATAATGAGAAAAGGGTTATAGAAATAAGAGAACATATCAAGGAAACTAGACAAAGCAAACAATACTAGGAAGAGAAAAGAAACTAGATAAATGGTTGAGCATCCTGGGATGATGGGCATCATCACAGCTTGCTAAAATACCTGCTCGAAAAAATCTGCTCCAAAAAAATTGTATTGTACCTTCCATAATCAAAGACTCAGCTTTCTTTCATACGAGGAAAGGTGTCTCATACTATGAAACATCGGACATCATTTTGACATGAAGTATTTGAACTCATATTCTTCAATATGTTTAAAGGGTAATTCATCTACGATTACCATAACTGCTAAAGCTTTTCTAACAATATCTTGATCAAATCTCCATGCCTTAAAACCTCCACCATCTCATCTTCTTTAACATTTGGTTGCAAACTAATTGAACTTGAGTTGATTGGAAATTATGAGAATTATTTTGGAAAATAGAAAGACGGGTTCGTAAATTCGTTGTACTATTAATTTTTAGAGCACTATGATATGTCTTTCCACAATAATTACACTTATTTATTTTCCCATCTTTCTTAACTTTGAATTTGATAAAATAATCCCAAACATCAGAACTTGGCCATTTGGACTTTCTTTTCTTCTTCTCATCAATTAATTTGATATTGGATACATTGGCATCTCCGACAAAATTAACTTATCGGGTAGAGTCAATAGGCACTTGTTGTTGAGAAGAATCCAAAGCATTTGAACTCTCTCCACAATGCGACATCTAACCATATTATAACAAAAAAGTGAGATTATGAGGGTGTAACTCCATGTGCAAGAAGAAATTCAAAATTGCCATCAAATCTCTAGTTTGCACTCAAGACTGAATAACCTTAAAAACAAAATATACCTGTCTGTGCATAAAAATGAAGGTGTAACTGTACAATATGTACTGCATTATCATAATATGTATTCAAAGTGTGCGTGAGTCTACAATTATATTAGGATTGAACAATCCTTAAAATAGATACAAAATGTCATTATGTAGCAAAATGGAGATGTTGACCTCGCTTTCGATCGAGGTGCAGTTTTCCCCTCCTTAGTAGCCTAGGATCTAGCTGTAGGACCTTTTTCTGTCGACTACTCCTTTTCTGTCGACTACTCCTTGAAAACTAGTGAAGGAGCCCTCCCCGTTAGCAATTCTGAACTTTTCTTCGCTCGACTTGACGTTCCATATAGTAGTTTTGACCGCTATTGCTAAGCAGATAAAGCTACTCTGAATGAACTCAGGGAGTATTCCTATAGGACTGTCGGCCTTAGGATTGACTGTACTCGTTGATTTGGCGTCGCCGCGCTCTTCGCCGTCCCGTTTAATCGAGCTCGAGCTGAGTTTTTGACGTGTTTCAGGTCGTGACGTGTTTTTGTCCCGATCGTCGACGGGGTTGCCTAAACGACTCCGGATGACAAAACTGACTGCGCCGATACGTCCGGAACATCGATTTTGCCTAGGGTGGACGTTGCCTTGGGTGGTCGTTCGTTTCATTGCGACGGCGCGTCTTGGGGAAAATACATGTTTAAATGTTAATTATAATAATAAATAATATTTTATTATTATTATTATTATAACTAATAATTTATATTAAAAATCCTTAACCTAAATCTATCTCCTCCCTTCCCGCCTCATCCTCTCGAACTCGTGGGCCTGCCTCAGCCCTAGATCTCGCTCGGTTTCGCCTGGCCCGCTCCTTCGTGCCGTTGGAATTTCATTCCCGCGCTCGCCTCGCGCACGCGGGACGATCCCGCGACCAATCACTTCTCGTTTCTCATCCTCTGCGAGGATCTCATCCTCTGCCTATCGCACGCCCGTATGGGGGCGTCTGCTCCTTCGATCCGTATGCGATCCCTTAATCATTCCCTCTCATTCTCGCTGGTTTATATGATACTCTGTTTGGTGCGTTTCAAGTGGCCGAAAATCTCTGAGGGCGGAAACTCTGTCATTTTCTTTTCTCACTTCTTTAGCTTGTTGTACTTGGGTTGGTTTCCTCTTACTGTTGGAGGAAGGATTGAAGTGGAGGAGTGCTTTGAAAATTTATGTGTGGCTTTTCTTTGCTTCAGGGAAGTACTTTCTCCCCCCTCTGTGCCTTGTCTTTCTTCGGTTTTCTCTCTGTCGAACCCCTTTGCTTGGTGCAGTGGACGATACAGCATGCTTGCGTGATATTACACTTATGTTTTTGAAATACTTGGTACTCAAGCATATAAAAATGGAAATGTGAGCATGTTCTAGGAGTTAGACTTGATTACTTGCTTAAAGTGGTGAAGCTATGACATGTTTCCATTTATTGCAACATATTTCTATTGGAAGCAATTAGGAGGGTTGAAACGTGACTTTGAGACAATGTTAGCTCCTTTTGTAAGCATGTTAGGATATGTATCATGAAGCTTTCCATTTATTCTTATCTAGCATGAGACATTGGAAGGTTTTATTTGGTCTTTCACGAATGTGGAAGGCT